ACTGCTCACGTGACGAAGCAGTTGCTGCATGCCAAGAGTGGCATGTTTGGCCAAAGGCCGGGGAATCGAGGGCGAGGACCCAGTGATGCGCGTGGAGTGGGCACGTAATCCACTGGAAGCTCCTCGTTTCGAAGCAACCCTTGCATGCTACGCGTGGTCAGTCGGCCGGTGTCCAAGGCATCTTGGGCAAAGCCCTTCAGATGCGCGTAGAGTGGTACGTTATCCGCTGGACGAAGACTGCGAAACAAGCAGCTCTTCGTCGGATATTGTTAAGACCAAAAAGGCTTCGATGAAGGAGGAAATGAAGGCACTAGACGACGCTGTGTGCGTTTATCCACTGGTCTCACCGAGAAGTAAGCCCTCTGGAGGAGGCAACGGCGACGCCGTATATTATCTGCAAGACGCAGGGCGTGAACCTAACCCAGGGTGTGTCTTCTTTAGACGATAGCGCACAGCAATACACCCTCTTCAACGGTGGGACGGGGGAGGAAGAGAGCAATGCCACCTTCGACGCTTTTCTCGAAGTAGATGCTCTTCTTGAGCTGGACAGGATGTTCTTTGAAGGGGGTTTCGGTGCTTTGGTACAGGCTATTTAGTCGAGGTGGTCATTATACGACTGAACGAGGAGATTTACTCGTCGACTCTTCTGGATGAAGCTGTCCTGGAGGATACGAAAAGAATGCTGAACGCACGAAGTGGATCTTCGATCCTGAAGAATTCATCAATTCCGTACCATCCTTTGGTAAAGGAATTTCAAGACGTCGCCTCCAAAATTTCGCCGTTGGTCCTACCTCCGGGCCGAGGTGTGCATCATGAAATCGACCTGGCTCCAAAGACTAAATACTGCGTAACACACCAACAGCCCCTGCCCAAGGGGAAGTGTGACGTCATTGATGCCTTTTTCTGTGCGAAGCACGACGCAGGAATGGTGCGTGAGAGCAAGTCTCCCCATACGACACCCATGTTTTGTGTCCGGGCGTCGAACGGCAAGTGGCGTATCGTTCACGCTTACAATATGTTAAGCGCTGCCACCATTCCGGCATAGACGCCGATTCCTAGGAAGGATGTTTTTTCAGAACAATATGGTTGACTGTACAAAGCACAGCGCACTCGCCATGGTCGATAGTATTACCCATTGTTCATGAGAGCGAGTGATATTCCGCTGACAGCCGTGACTTTTCCGAGTAGGATGCTCTGAGAGTGGCTGGTGATGCCCTTAGGATTTTCAAATGCTCCAGCAATATTCGATCGACTTGTGACGCAATTTTTAGGTTTTAACGAGAGTATGCACAAACATACTTCGACGACATCTTCGTTCCCAATCGTGCGGGGCACGAGAGGACAAATGAAGAAAACTACATCGTCCAATTGAGAGCGGTGATTAAGTGCATGCGCACAAGTAAGTTGTATGCTAATGCCGATGAGCGCATCTTCCACGCGATAGAAATCCCTTGTTTGGGGTGCTTTATTGGGAAGCGTGGCATTCGAGCGAATCCCGCTAAGGTCAAGACCACTGTGGACTGGTCGGTTTTGAATAATCATAAGGACTCGCGCAAGTGGTTTGTCCTTGCCAACTACTTGCATAAGTATAGCGCAAATTATGCGACCATTGTCGAATCTGCTGGCGAAAGATACGGAATGGTGTTGGTACACCGAGCAAAGAGGTCTTTGACCGGGTCAAATGCAGCCTCCTTTATGCACCAATATTGGCGTTGCCAGACCCCGATCGTCCTTCTAGTGTAGTCTGCGACGCTTCGGACTTTGCCATCGGCTGTGCACTGCTGCAAGCAGACGCCGAGGGGCGAGATCGGGTGCGCGTTCGGATCTCGCCAGCTTTAGGCTGTGAAAAAGAGCTTTTCAGTCCACGACAAGGAATTACTTGCGATGAAGTACGCTCTTGTCAAAGTCAGTGTGCACCTGCTTGGCTCAAAGCCGTTTGTGATCTACACAGATCATGTTTCACTAGAACTGCGACTCAGTCGCCTCACCTCTCGCAGAGGATGGCCAGGTGGCTCTTCTTCTTCGCAAAATATAATTTCGAGGTGAAGTATAAGCCAGTAAAGCCGAATGCTTTGGCTGATGTGTTGTCACGCAGACCGGATTATGAGCTTGCTCGTGTCACGACAGTGGCGTCGTCAGTGATGAATTCGATACGCGCCGCATACGCGGGTGGTGGTATGTGTGTAGCGCTGCCATAGGCTCTCGGGAGCAAGGAGTTCGGAAGCTTGGACAAGAAGTTGTCGGCGCGTTTGCGAGCACAGTAACACCGATATTCGTTGAGTAATGGGTTGCTGTATTATAGCGCCGACACGACGGATACATCACGAATTGAATTTCTCACGATGTGAATTAAGAATACCGTAATCTCAATGAGGCCCACGACACCCCATCCAGTGGTCATCCTGGTCGTGAGAAGACGTACAGAGACGTACTTTGCCACAAGTGATGGCTCAAGCTGTACAAATGGACGATCACATATGTGCGCGCGTGTAAGACGTGTCAAACGGTGATTCCCTCTTCGAATACGACAGCACTACTGGCCAGTTCCCTGGTATCCTCCGGGTGTTGGCAGTCCATGAGTTTGGACTTTGTCCTTGGCCTGCCGAAGGCCTCGGCGGGCAACACAGGTGTGGTGGTCTTTGTCGACCATTTGATCAAGATGGCTTATCTTGCGGCGGTGCCAGACACCATCGACTTTGTCGGCACGGCGTCGCTGTTTGTGGATCGTGACTTTCGACAACATGGACTCCCGGAGTCATTTGGCTCTGACAGAGACCCATCCTTCACTGGGAAGTTTTGGTCGACAATCATCAGGGTGCCGGGCATCAAGTTGACTATGTCAACAGTTGGCCATCCAAAGACTGATAGTCAAACTCAGCGCGTGAGTCGCGTCGTTGAAGAGGTTCTTTGCAGCATCTTCGCTGAAACGCTGGAGCGCCATGCTGCCACTTGTAGAGTTCGCTCTGAATAATGCAGCGCATGCATCTATCAGCTACTCGCCGTTCGACGTGAACGTGCTTGTTAATCCTCGCGTCCCGCTGACGCCGCCATCACATGGCTCAGGGCTTGGTGAAGGAGGAATAGTCGAGCAGCTAGCTGATGTCCGCGTCTTCACTGTCTGTAAAGAAGTCGATAACTTTCCGTCTACCAGACTGAGTGTCTTACGACACGTTCGCAATGCGGTCGCTGAAAGCCAAGCCATGCGGAAAGAAACTGCAGACAGAAAAGCAGAAGAAATGTTGAAACGTTGAGGTTGGAGACCTGGTTTTATATAACTCTAAAACCCTTCCTTCCCATGCATCCCCTGCTATTTTCTGGACGAAGCTTCGTCCACGGTTTATTGGACCGTTTAAAGTTGTGGCCAAGAGGGGCTAGCGTATACGCTAAAACTTCCCGAACGGATGCGCACCCACCAGGTGTTTTACGTGGGCTTGTTCAAGCCGCCTAATTTTAAATGCATCGATTATCCTAAATATGTATAGTAAAATCTAAATACATGTATAACTATTGGCTATCCATCCCCGTACCTTAATCTTCTTTAAGTGTGGTCACACCATACCTATCTGGTGTGACACACCCCTTTTACCAAGGTATATGTAACCCCGTAACAATGTCATTATAGCAAGCTGGATAACCAACTTACTAGCTCTCGATTCCATACCTGGCTAGTACGCCCAAACCCATCCTCTGTAAGCTAACTAACTGGATCTGCGAGGTCCCAGATTCCTCTCGCGAAAGCCCCACTGCGAAATATAACTCCTGGAACATTTGCTGATATACAGGCTTCTATCACATCTGGTTGATTTGTTTTACTTCCATCAAACTTGTAAAAGCTTGAAAGTGAGGGTTAATCAATTATCTTTTGACAGTGCTACAGCAACTGTGGTAAAGGAATTTATGATTTATACATCTTCTGATGCAATTTTACTACTTAGGGCCAGATATCCGCATATTAGCTACTTTACTACATTGCGCAAATGTAGACAACCAAAATATTGCCACCCGAGCGCAATCATCCAGTATCCTCAGCTTAAATGTGTGTATAATCGCAATATCCCACGCTCTAGGCCCTAACTACTTCAGTTATCTCATTCGACTCAGCAGTCACAGGTTTGTGAGCTTCTAGCTGACCGCGAAGATCTCTGATCTTTCTAAACGAATTCTCAAAATGTCGAGGGGGGAATTTCGATGCCTTTTACACTTGAATCATTCAGAGTATCTCAGCAAAGAATTTAGCTCTACTTTTATTTTTAAATCTTGCTGATATGATAAATTTAAGTCTTCTCATTAACCTTTTTTTTCACTCTCGTGCTTACCCCCCCCAAAAAGCGGTAGCGCCACAACTTCAAGGATCCATTGCTAGTTATAAGATCGTAGCCATATTTGCTTCTTTCTACCGCGTCGGTGTAGTACGCATCTGCGGCTTAAAATTGTTTGCGCTCAAAGCTTAAGGCTTTGCATACTTGAATCAAAGATAAGCCTGAGGCTTGCTATAGCACTTGTGAGATTATTGGGCACAGGTCTGCTGCAAGTGTCCTACTGCCCCTGCGAAGATCCGACCACTACATATCTAAGATAGACCGGTCGCCAAAAAACGTGTCGTTGTCAGCGCTACGCCGCCTTCTAGTGGTCTTCTTACAGAATAGATGTCAAACCTTATTAGGTGTTGCACACAAACTTTCAAATAAATAGTACTAGACGTACTAGCACATATTTTGATTCCAAAATCAATTGGCAAGAACATAGTGTGGCAGAGGCTCCAACACGCCAGGTTGCTAAAAATGCATTTTCTAATTCCATCTTAAACATGCAGCTACACGTGCAAGCAATCGCAATCGATGACAGAGAAGCCTATGTCCAAATAAAGAAGCCCGTGCTGCTCTTATCAGCGTTAATGTTTTAGACTTGTTGTTTACAATCTGACAATGCAAAGTTTTCGCCACCTATCTATGTCTGTAAGTAGTATCGCCGAGTGAGTATTTCATCAACTCATCCACTACCTAGTCAAACGATTGACACAGACTTGGCTCTGTTGGTAGTGTTTGCAAAAAGTTACACTTTAGTTTGCCTACATTACACGTATATAGATTTTTTCATCAATATCTGGACGATACTTTTTAGCTTTGGCATCATTCCAACCCATACTTTGTTCGGAAACAAGTCAAACTAAGCAGTCATCGCACCTTCAAACAAGTAGAACTTTAGTAAATCAGCACGCATCAGCGTGCAACGAGCACGTCTTACTAGAGTTCCTGCAAACAAAATCAAAAGCATGATCTCATAGAATATGCTCGGATCTTGAACATTATGCCAGAAGTGTCCATCGTTGTTACGGTGAAATGCTCTGATGCACTTCACAGAATATTACCGATAAAAATCGACAGTCTCCAGTGTTGACCTTATTAGCACGTTGTGAGCACTATTGCACTTGATTCCCACAAAAATAAGGCAGTTATCAGCTGTAGAATGCTCCTGCTCCCCACTATAGTAATTGGCGCCAAAAACCTTCACTGGCGCTAGCGGCACCTTGTGTCTTCCCTTTTCTACCATCAGACATAATGGTGTGTGTCCCTATTAATCATGCAGCTGAAAAGATACATGATTGCACGAACGAAAAGACTCATAGCTTCAGTACCGCCACGTACATCACTGAGATCTAAAAGTATTTCTAGCTTCAAATCCTCATTGCTGACCGATCCATCGAGCTGCTAAGCAAGAGTCATTATGTTTTTAAATCTTTAATCTTTTCTGGTGGCGTTAAGAAAGCGATAAAAAGAAGAATTTGTGTGCGAGTTTTTCTAGTCAACTCGTACTTTTTGCGACCATGTATCGTGCATACCAGTCACCGAACCTGCAGCAGTTATAGCAATATAGAGGATTCCAGACCCTTGCTAGATCTGCATTCGAATGTTAAGTGGTCCAGGGCTAATGTCGAATAAAATCACTGCTCACACCCCATTTTCCACATCTTAAGCTTCAACCTGTTTTATTAAAATCTTTAATACTATGGTGGCACAAGTATCGATAACGAAGGCGATGTTGGTGCAGGAATGACGAAAAACAGAGCATTGGATCGTAACATATTTTTGGAATGTGTAGTAGCTTGACAAATTCATTTTTCCAAGTTGAGTGTATTCTCAATTATTCTATTAGTGGTATGTCATTGTTACTACAAGCGCAATCTTCATCGATCTGGGTGCAATTATCATCGGTGGCGTCGTCCTTTGTGCAGCGTTAACACGATAGTACATCTTTGTCCTCATCCGTGTCAGCGTACCGTTCCTACCTAACACCCATACGCTTCGAAATTATAAACATATTATCGAGTAGATCAAGATGTTAAAACGATGAAAAATTTGCAGACGCTTCTAGTCAAATTATGGTCTCTAGCTTTCAAATATGCCACAAATGTATTGTCACAAGAAAGCAAGCAAAATAATGATTCAGGGTGTCTACAGCGCCAAGATGTTTTGTGTATCACAGTTATCGTTCGTGTAGCCTTTGAAGCAATCACAAATACCCGTCTCGGTATCGCAGATACCACGGCCTGAGCATTGGGACACGTAGTTGTACTTGAGTGCGTTTGCTGGTGGAGTGACCTTGTACACAAATAAAACTGTGTTATCACCACCGTCTAATGTATTACCGAGGAATGGTCGGTCCAATGTGATATCCCAATTTGCTCCATTGACGACAGAGGACACATAATTGTAAAATTGGTTTTCAAAAAAGACGAGATCGCCCGCAGCAAAATTAGGGTTTGACGTCACGGTAATGATTGTGGATCCAGCGACGACTGCAGTACTCACAAGCTCAGTCACGACCATGCCACCATTACCATTCGCAGCTTTTACAGCATTAAAGCGACTGGTTCTTGACGACAGTGTGTGCTTGAGTGGGTATGTAAGTGTAATTGTTGTGGCCGCTGAAAGCTTTCCCGCAACTACATAGGGTCCAAGCTTGAACAATGTTGGGGTTTCTGGCGAGCCCGTTTGAGCTGATTCCAACGTGAGAGTAACGTAGTCACTAGAAGATACGGCTGTTACAACCATTCCGGTATCTTCAGTAAACCACTCGTTGCTGATACCTTTTTCCACAGTAATAACTTGGTACTTTTTTGTAAGAGGATCGGTGATGCCATTAAATCCAAACGCTGCCACTTCTGGCTTCCGCAGTTCGCCAGGATTATCATATAATTGACAGATAACCGACAAACCTTTACTCGTTTCGCGGGCAGGTAGAATGTAGCCATCCAGATCGCCATTTGTCAAACTAAGTCGCTCACAGAGCACGCGTCTAAAAGTCTGATTTGGAATTCGTTTAATAGCTTTTGCCACCGCAGCAGCGTTGGAATCTGCTTTTGCAGTATCACTGACGTCATTTAAGATAGGAATCGCTTCGGTAACGTATGACTCGCCATGATAGTCGAACAGTCGAAGTCGAAAGAAGTTTAATGGTGTTGCTCCGGCAGCATCAGCCGTCCAGGTACCTGTCGTGTAAACGTGGAGGACAAACGTCTCAAACGTTGCAGTGCCAACAGACAGGAACATCGGATCAACTCCAGCTTTGCATGATCGCAACGAGCAATCAGCACCATGGTACCATGGATCACATCGACAACCGTAAATCACTCGACTATCCCAGAGATCGTAGGTGATTTGAGAGGCACTATATGGATTTCCAAATAATGTGCCTGGAGCCTTTAACCCCAACTCACGAAGACTCTCACATGTTCCATGACCACTACACTTGTTTGGACACGACGCACGCTGACATGCCACACCTTCATATCCGTCAAAACATGTACACGTTCCTAATGTTCGATCGCATATGCCTTTGTTCGAACACTCCATGTAAAAGTGGGCTTCGTCTGTGGCAGCGTCCGGACTGAAGTACTCATATGTTCCTTCGGGAAATTGTTGCGAGTCTTTGATTATCCAATTCGGCGTCTTACGATCCTGGTCCATATTAATGTCACCCTTTGGCGTATCTGCATGAGCATAACCAAATTGGCAAGCTCGATCAAAACAGTCGTTGCCCAAATAATTCTTGTAGCAGTTGCACATGTCCTTGGCCATGCATGCTCCGTTACCTGAGCAGCCATTAGGACATTCAGCATATGTCGAGCTGCTCACTATTCCGAGGATTACGATCATTATGAATTGCACATCACGCCTAATCTCCATTGGAGCTCGATAAGCTTAACTATATGGAACCGAAAGTATTCTGTTTGTTGCTTTTCCACGCTGAAGTTTGATAAATGCTATGCTAGTGACACCATTAAACCATGCGATCTTACACAGTTTAGTCTGCTGAAGAGACGTTCGCGACGGGTGAAATCGCGATCTTTGATGCGTCCCTTCATTCTTCGGCCGCTTAAACCGCTATTTTTTTGTTTTTTTTTAGCTAAACCAGATTCAGTTATTTCATTTATATCCCAATAATAAAGAGAAGATAAACCTTAAGCAATAGAATATGTCCCGACTTTCATGGAAATATTAAACGGATCGTGGAGCTAGAATAATTCAAGTTTCTTGTCAATGGATGCCCTCATACCGAAATGTCTGGCTTGCGGGCTGTCTACGCGACGCTTTAATCGGATGACTCTGTTATTATTGCTGTTTCGATTTTCATTTACATAATAAAATGACATGCACATCCATTTTACCTGCGACGTCCCAATGGAAATGCCGAGATCGACACAAGTAGCGTAGATTAGATACGGAAACCTCCCCATGTCTTGTCCAACACATTTATCTCGCGCTCATATTATTGTATAGACGTCGTTGCTTGTTGTGTTCCGGATGGATTATTTCTTACTAATATTTTGTCCGAGAATGCAACCTTTGTCGGGCAAATGAAAAAATATATAGCTGGAATTAAAGCTTTGTCACAGGACACGATATCACGATATTTGTCGATGTAATATGACGTCGGGACTTCTGGAAGACTGGCGTCGACATTCTATTGGTTTTCAAATATACCCAATTCGATTTTGATCGCTAGCAGAATCAGTGGGAGAAGAGCTATTTCGTGCATCAAGTCCCTTGAGAGATTGTAACATTCATTGGTAGGGCTCATGCAACAGCTAATGATTGCTTTGACCAAGACGCCGTTTCTTGAGAGCGCATCGCCCGATTTATCGACCTTTCTAAGGCAGTGTAGGATGGTTTAAAAATCAACAAGAGAACGTAGAACATCATGTTTTGCCAGGACCTGAAGCGATAAGCGCACGCCTTGAGGCGTTTTCAAATTATGAAATGCTCTGTTAGAGCACTTACAACAGAAGCTGTCGGCGTCGACTGCGTCCATGACGCCACCTTTGACGATGGATGACTTCTGCAGACCCAGGCCGCTCATGGTGAGCGTTAAGACCTTCGAGGGTAAGGATGGTGAGAATCTTCTGCTCTGGGTAAGAGAGGCCGAGAAGGCTATGACATCCGCCATGTTCCAGAATGAGCAACAGCGCGTGGCACAAGTTATATCCAAGCTCGGTGGCAGAGCGCAAAAATAGGCACTGACGTGTGGTGCTTCGGTTGAAGCGGCGTTTTTCTCCTTTCCCTCCTGGACAAAGCTGAAAATGCATTTTTACGAGTGTTTTCGCCACCTAGTCAGACATAACGCGTGCGATCGCGTTTCCTTGCTGCCCAGCAAGGCAAGAAGGAGTACTTTGTCAAAGCGTTGCGTGCTCTCATTGCTGGGATGGCAGCCGATCCTCTCCTCGAGGTGGTCGCAGTGACCATCTTTATGGAAGGCCTCCGCACTAGCGTGGCCGGAATGGAAGTCTTCCGTGTGCATGCGTCTTTTTTTAGAAGCGGTGAACGTGGCGTTGAATGCCGAATTCAACTTTAAGTTGGCACGACTTGGTTGGAATGCATACTCTCAGAGCTCGTCGAGCGGGCATGAGCAAATCGATGTCAGTTATGCTGTGAAAGAGGAGGAAGGGGTTCCGAGCTGCCGAGCAGCGTGTGAACACCCGACGATGTTTTGTCTGTAGGGACACCCGTCACATTCGGACTGGTTGCCTTCTGCGCCAGGCGCGTAAAGGTTTGTCGAACCGACGTCCCGCTACTAACCAGTCTGGTTTGTCACGGGGTAACAAGAAAATCCAGTAGACGCGGGACGACCAACTGGGGAAGAACTGAGTTATGTAGTGCCTCAAAGAGGTGAAGGACAGCAGGTCCCAGCCCCGAAGAGCTTCGTGCTCTTGAACACGGAACGTGTATGCAAGCCGGGTTTGCTGGTCGCAAAAGCGACCGTGAAGGGCTTCTAGGAGCCATGGAAAATTCTTATCGATTTCGAGACGTCGGGCTATTATACTCGACGCTCCACGGCGATCCACGATAAAGGAAGTCAGCTGTATGCTGAGGTGCTGGAAGCTTTGTCGAGTGACACCGTCACTGATCGCTTAGCGACGGAGACTTGTGTCACTGGGACGAGGGTCCCTGTAGACCTCGGTGTCAAATTTCTTGACTTCGATAGTGTGGAACGCTGCTTATTCTTAGACTTGAATGCATGGTATTACCACATCCTTGGTATGGCATGGTTGGAATACCATGAACTATGGTTTGATTGAAGGTTGAAGACCTTGGGCGATACGCGCACATTTTCTGTTGGAGCTTCGGTGAATCATAAACCCACCTCTGCTAGGAGGCAAAAGTGCTATTGGCGCAGGCACTGGACTGGGGCGTCAATGTGCTGGTATCGGAGCATCCGAGTTGTCGTACACCAAAGGTGTTTTGGACAGGAGTTCCGAGCGTGGTTCAGGGCGGACGTGGAGTGGTATTTCACCCACTGAGCGCTGCTCAAGTATTTGAGCAGTCGCTGAATGCCAAGAGCGGCATTGTCGGCCGAAAGCCAAGGCATCGACAGCGAGGCCCCAGTAGCACGTAATCCACTGAGCACTGCTCCCGTTACGAAGCAGTTGCTGCATGCCAAGAGTTGCATGGTCGGCCAAAAGCAAAGGCATCGACAATGAAGCCCCAGTGATGCACGTGAAGTGGCACGTAACCCACTGAGCACTGCTCGGGTTACGAAGCAGTTGCTGCATGCCAAGAGTGGCATGATCGGGTGAAGTCCGAGGTATCAACGGCGAGGTCCTAGTGATGCGCGTGGAGTGACACGTCACTCTCGAGGCTATTCCAGCGGTGGCTGCTCTTCTTGAGCTGGACAAGACTTGAAGACAGACAATCAAGCCGAGGTGGTCACTATACGACCAGACAAGAAGATTGACTCGTCGTCGGTTCGGGATGAAGCTGTCCTGAAGGAATCAAAGAGGGTGCTGGACGCACAAAGTGGATCGTCGATTGTAAAGGATTTCTCGAATCCTTTGGTAAAAGGATCTCAAGACGTCGTTCAAAGGGCCTACCGTCGGTCCTACCTCCGGACCGAGGTGTGTGTCATGAGATTGACCTGGTTCCGGGAATTAAATACTGCGTATCACGCCAATGGCCCCTGCCCATGGAGCAGTGTGACGCCATTGACGCCGTTTCCGTGCGAAGCACGACGCAGAAATGGTGCGTGAGAGCAAGTCTCCCCATTCGACACCCATGTTTTGTGTCCGGGCGTCGAACGGCAAGTGGCGTATCGTTCTCGCTTACAATATGTTAAACGCTGCCACCATTCCGTCATAGACTCCGATTCCTAAAAATGATGTTCTCTAGAACAATATGGTTTACTGTACAAAGCACAGCGCACTCGCCATGGTCGATAGTATTACCAATTGTACATGAGAGCGAGTGATATTCCGCTGAAAGTGGTGAGCTCTCCAGGTGGGATGCTCTGAAAGTGGCTGGTGATGCCCTAAGGACTGTCAGATGCACCAGCGACATTTAATCGCTATGTAACACATTTTTTAGGTTTTAACGGGAGTATGCGCAAACATACTTCGACGACATCTTCGTCCTCAGTCGTGCGGGGCACGAGAGGATAGATGAAGAGAACCACATCATTAATTTGAGAGCGGTGATCAAGTGCGTGCACACGAATAAGCTGTAGGCTAATGCCGATAAGTGCATCCTTCACGCGAAAAAAACCCAGCTTTATTGAGAAGCGTGGCCTTCGAGCGATTCCCGCTAAGGTCAAGACCATTGTGGACTGGTCGGTTCCAAAGAACCAAAAGGTTTCGCGTAAGTGGCTTGGCCTCGTCAATTACTTGCACAAGTATAGCGCAAATTATGCGGAAATAGCACGGTCATTGTCGAATCTTCTGAAGAAGCATACGGAATGGTGTTGGGATACCAAGCAAAGAGGTCTTTGACCGGGTCAAAGGCAGCCTCCTTTATGCACCAATATTGGCGTTGCCAGACCCCGATCTTCCTTTCAGCGTCGTCTGA